ACTGGGAGGTAGCTGGGACTACAAGTATGAGCCACAAAGACTGGCTTTTAAAGAAGTGGTTCTTAAACTGTAGCATGAAAATCACCAGAAAGTACTATTTAACACAGATTTTTCAGGGTTGCAACTCTAGAGATTCTAATTCAGTAAGTCAGAGATAGGGCCTTTGTGATTGGTATTTTAAACAAGCTCTATAGAGGACTCTGATATAGGTGAATTGCATTTTGAAAACACCATTCTAAACAAGATGCAAGAGTAAGTTGAGAAACTTAAAATTTATTTACTTTCAATTCTACTAATACTTACTCTGATCAGTTAGTGTGAATCAGGGACTTTTGGGGGAAAGCACTACATCATAATTAGTATAGCTGTTATTATAGTGTATGGAATAGAAAGTTTTATAGTGTTAGGTAGCCTATAGTTTATTAATATTTTGTTCAATAGCAAAAGAAAAGACAATTTTTAAAAAAATTGGGATGAAAACACTGTAGAGTATGTAAGTTTGATTTTGTTTACATTTTTTATTTGATCTAAGGTATTATCAATATTATAGTGAAATACATGTCTTTTAGTTGTTCTCTCTTTAATCCATGTACAACACCACATACCCAATCAAAATAATCAGTCTATAGTAAAAGATATGGATCATGTGTAATATTACTGACTTGAATATATGTATCTAATCTCATGACAGCCCCAAGTGTATTTCTTATTCCTGCAATCTATATTTAATGTGGCCAAAGCCCTCATTTGTTAGCATAAACATTGAAACATTTTTATATTAAATTAAAAAAATTAATTTTCTATCTGTTGCATTATACATCTACAGCTGTCTGAAGGGAAAACAGTTTCTTTATATCCTATCATCCTGTCTGCTGCTTTTTGTTTTCATCTTGAAAAACTGGTGGAGGTGCTTTGGTAGTTTGCCTTGTTTAATACCTCTTAGAAAAATATGACATATCACTTTCATGGAAAACAGAGTAAGGAAAATGACCTTAATTCCAGACAGACTCAGCTCTCCTGCTTTATCGTACTTGATGCTTCAGGGTTTGATAGTGGCAGAGAGCTGATGTTGGTGGCAGTGACAGGAATGACAGCCCTTTTTACCACTTGCTGGTGGAAGTACAAAGCTATCATGCTTGAAAGCCATGGATACAGCTTATTGGGATCTGTAAACAATGTGTGGCTAGAATGGTAGAGATATGGGTATTGTCACATGTTATTTTTTCATGAGCAAGGGGAGAAATATTATTGTAGTTTGCTTAACTCTTTTTCTTCTGCAAAATGGATATTCCTTATATGATGATAGCTTTTATATTAGTACTAAGCCCATTTTCTATTTCTATATCTCAGTACCACTGTGTTCCAAACATCTACGAATTGTTTGGTAATATTTTTATATTTATTCTGTTTATGAGGTAGTATGTGTTATTAGATTTTTAATATGTGCAGACTGTCAACTGGAATGTCTTTGCATTATTTTTAATTGGATTTTGAATTATTGTTCTTTAGCAAAAAAAAAAAAAAGAAAGAAAGAAAAAGCCCAGAAGAAAACTTAATTTGAAGACTAACCTATGATTCTGTGTTCTATTTGTATTTTTCTAGTAGCTGAACACCTATTTTTATGTCTTTTTCAGTTTTATCTGGGTTTTATTATCTCCTGAATTTTCTCTTATATGATTCTATCTGTGATCCCTTTTTTCTCCCTAATATTTACACAAGTCAACTCATCTTTAATTTCCTTGAAGTTCATGTGCTTCCTGAGGGGACTTGCTTTCAAAGAATGTACAAAGAGTACAAAGAAGTGTCCATCTCTAAAATGTAAAGAAAATAGTCTCCAAAAATTACTGTATTTCTCATTTTATTTGGAGGAAAGAAACACAGTATTTTATGCCTTTTCCTTGCTTTTTTGCCTCCGTCCAAAAAAATGACCTGCTTTATTTGCTAAGAAATATAAACCTTCCTTATATTTTCCAAGGAATCTTGAAGTATGGTTTGAAGCCACTGATTATAATATAAACAGGTTGCATTACTATCTTTTAGATATATTTATGTATTTAAACTTTTTAAATTTAGAAATTATCTTTTTCTCACCTTTAACAAAGAATTTGGAGGATATATTTATAATAAAGTGAGTGGATGTTCATAATTAATTATTAGAGGGGAATACAAAGGATAATATTTGTATTTTTCCCTGTGTGTATGTTGGCATTTTTTCACTGTTTATAATTTCTTTAAAATTAAAATTACTGAAAAAGATATGTTTAATGGGAAAATGGAATAAACCAATTGCACAATGTTAAGTATACAACTTAAAATATTCATTTGAAAATTTCATTTTGAAATGAAATCTAGTAACTAAGAACATTCTTTAACAATATTATTTGTTTTACTTTATTACATTTTTCTTCTTTTAAGTTTTCTTCTGAGCTTCTTTATTAAATTTTCTTCTTTTTTCCCCTGTTATGTACTTTATGCAAAGCATAATTAAATAGTTCTTCCATCATTGAGGATAATCTAGTTTCTTATGATCTTCCTTGTGGCTATTATTTTCAGTTTCTTATACCACTTGGCTTTCTAGTCAGTTGGCATACCTTGTTGATTCTGTCTTCATTTGTCTCTCACACAACTGTACACTTGTTTGCCAGTTTTTTTTTTGCCATCATTAGTTTTTCTTTTTCTTTCTTTTTTTTTAGTACTAGAGATTTAAATCAGGAGTGCTTTACCACTGAACCATGTTTCCAGCCTTTTTGTTTTTTATTTTGAAATTGGATCTCACTAAGTTGCTTAGGCTGCAATTTTCCTTTCAGCCTTCAGAGTTGCTAGAATTACAGATGTATGCCAAGAGGTCTGGCTATTATCATCATTTTTTAGCCTACATATTCAGGCGATGGCAATAACTTTCTGTCTTCTGTGTCTTACATAATGAGCTGTCTCTACATATTGCATTCAAGTTCTTTTGGAAGCTCATTCTCATTTTGTTATATCTCCTGTTCAGATATCTCTGCTGGCATTTTGGGCCTATACTTATGGCCTCAAGTTAACATTTTAGATAACTTCTCACTTCTGCTTTACTTTCCTTCCAAACAACATTTTGCTCTTACCAAAATATGCTTTAGTAGTTTTTCTCAACAATACTTTTGTTTATATTTTTCTTAAATTCAGTACAATCCTCTTCTTATTAAGAAATTGAATATTCTTTTTATAGCATTTACCACATTCTGTTTCTTCTTTCAGGTTTTTTTATACTTTATAATATGGCTTTGAGCTTCCCCAGCCTAAAATTCCAAAATGCTCCAAAATCCAAAGCTTGTTGACCATAAACATGACACTTCAAGGGAAATATTCTGCTACTTGCTCTCAAGTGATGGATTTTAATTGAAATGCAAGTGGACCGAAAGTATTGTGTAAAATTATCTTAAGGCTATGTGTGTATAATTTATATGAAACATAAATGAATTTTGTGTTTAGGCTTGGGTTCCTCCCACAAGATATGTCTTATGCATATACAAATATTACAAATCTGATAAAAATCTGAGGTTTGCATTTCAGGTAACGGATACTTGACCTGAACTTTGATTATAGATTTCAAGATTTTGAGGGTAATAACTCTATTTGTGTAATCCAATATTCTGTCATAATACTGCCTTCTATATGTAAGAATTCAAAGGTTAGTTGGATTACAATGCTTACTTAAATTTATAATTATAAAATGTAATAAAATAAAAATATTATTGACTTTGGAAAATAGTCTTGAATTTATTGTAGTTAAATAAAGCCTTACCTTATAAAGGGTCTATTACTTATAATTTTAGATTTTCATCCTTAAGTCTAACAGCATTTAAATGAGGAATCTGATTTTTAATGCCTAGAGAAGTGAGATTTTGCTATAATATTTAGGGGATGAAAAAACAGACCACATGTGTAAAAAATTGACTTACTATGATTGTGAATGGCATTTTTTTAAAAAAAAGCATAATTGTGAATAATTTAATTATAATAAGTTTGAACATCATTTCTAGGTAGTAGTTGGTAGAATAATAACCTCCTTAAATGAGCAAACAAAACTAAGAAGGCAGTGAAATTTTCCGAAACTCTTAGAACTCAGGTTAGTTTTTAAGGAAAGAATTCCAATTCTTATCTTTTTGAAAAATTGACTCAATTTGCATATGGAAATTTATATTTGTGTTTCTGATTTATAGCACATGGATATAAAATTAGTTTTAAGAAGTGTATCAAGTTTACTGTTGTCTATATTGCATTTGCTTTTAGAACTTATATTCTAACAGGAAAAAGTTAGCAAAACAAAAAACTGCTTTTTTTGGCATAAAATTATTAGTAATAAGGTGAAATTTTACATACTGGGACTGTGGCCATCTTGAAGAAAGTGAAGTTTCATCTTTTTATAGAATTAACACTTAATAAAAATAAAAGTTGTCTAAGCTTATTTTCTCATTTATCTCTGTATTTGAAAACATTTGTGACTTGTTTTTGAAAGCTGAATTTTTGATACATAAGTATTATCTACATTCACATATTATGGACTCTTTATTACGTTAAAAAGCTATTAGCAGTTGTCTGATAGGTATGACTTTTCTTTGTTGTAAATCAGTGGGTGCACTTTGTATATTTGAAACATCTCTATAGGTGGGCAAAATGCTTGTGAACTGTTTTCTCCAATGCCAAGTGCAGAAATAGTAGCTTTTAGGGCAAAGCTATAACATGATCATTTATTTTTTATTTTGTTATTACAGAAGATGAGAATGCATGAAAGCTATTAGGCTAATATATTAGAAATCTGTTTTTATACTTTTTTTTGGCATGCTTATAAACATGAAGATTAAAAGTATTTAAAACACATAGAGTTTTTTCTTAACATGAAAACTTTAAATATAGTTTTAATTTTTATTAAAAGTATAAAATTAAATATTAAAAGTTTAATTTATACTTGGAAGTTTAAGTATAAAATGCATTTTACATTTACAAATGAAGATATCAGGAGATATTGTGGCAAATATATTTATTGAATAAAGCTTTCCTTAATACTTGTGTCCACGAAGTTAGTTTCTCTTCAGGGTTTTAAAAAATAAGTCTTACTTGCTTATGCTACATTTCATCAAATTGAAGCATTTCTCCAATTCCATAAAACGGTAGAAAATACAGCAGAAGGAAACTGGGCCTTTGCCAAGATTTGACATTATGTTAGCATTATTATCAGAAATAAATTGCTATTTAATTTGCTAGTAATCTCAGTGAATTCAAATTATTGCATGGTTCTCATTTCCCAGGGATTAGGGTATTTAGTAAACTAGATTGAATGAATCCCATTTATTTATCTAAAAGTGATATATTATTGAATCTATATTTTTAAATGTAAAAATGAACTATTACTTCATTTAGTGGATACAGTGTTAAAAAATAGAATAACCATTGTTTAGCTAACCAATTACAGTATAGCAGGTACTTGCCTATTTTATATAACCTATTGCTAATTTTCTCATAGTGATATTACTTCTCATTGCCAGATTATTACATTACACCAGTTGGAAAATATGTTTGATATGAAATTTCCAATCCTTATCATCTGTAGTTAGAATTGGTAATTTCATATCTTCCTTACATGAATTCAGGATTGGAGAGAAAAATTCATAAAGTTAAATTATGTGTGGTGGAGTAGAAAAAGTGAAATTTGTTGTTCCTTAACGATTTTCATTGTGGAAACAATGATATTTTGAAGAACTAGGAGCTATGATTGCTTAAGAACATTGTGTAAATTTGTATTGCTCTAAAGTTGCTATGTATCTAAAATTAGAAACAGGTGGCTTTGTTAGGCTTTCCTACAATGATATAAAAGTCTTTTTTTCTCTTCCTAATAGTTAGATTTGTATAATTAACTTGTTATGCAAACAGAATTGAATTGAATAAAGTTCAAAAGTAACTTTATTTTAGTGCACTGTTTTTCACCAGTATTCTGTGTTTACCTAGAACATTTGGCTTAGAATCAAGCAAAGTGAAGAAGGAAGCTTTGTAGCTTTTTCTTCCTTCCCTTTGTTGTCAGTTCATTTGTACTTTATAGGTATAGTATCCTTGATCTAGGAAATCAGTCTTTTCTTTTTAATAGTAAACTTGAATTTTAAAATCTCCATATGTTGGTGTGCATATATGGGGATGTTTGATTTTTGGTGTATGAATTTTAAAATACTAATAAATCCTATGATTTTCTACATTCAAAAGAAAGAATGAAGTTTTAACCACACTTCATTATTTTGGATGCATCAAACATTATAGCAAGTATACTCTATCAGGAAATATAACCTAGAAAATCTTGAATTGTTTTGAGCCTATAATTTTTGTTTTTATGTTAAATGCTATTCCAGTTGTCATCATATAAATATATCTTTATAGTTTGTGGCTTAGAAACAATACACTTCATATATTTTTTTTAAAAAGTAAATACCTGTGTCAGTTACTTTTTAAAGTTATACACTGTTTTAAGGCTATGTATTTATTCTTTAGAAAATATGACTTACATGAACATCTTCTGATGGACATAATATTGACAAAATATACACATGATATTTACTTTAACAAACTGCCATGCAACAAATACATTAAGTAATGAAGAAATTGAATATATATGAGCTAATCTAATTGACATTCACATTGAAAATTTACAACATAACCGTTACTTAAAATGTTTTCTTTTTTATATTTGGCAGTAAGATCATTTTTTTTTTTTTTACAATTCAAATCTAAAACTCCTCTGAATGTGGATTTGGTGAAAATTAGACTTTTCCCTAGTCTGTGACAACCTGAGGTACTAAACATTTCTCTCTTATTTCACTATCTTCATATGTAATCTTTCTATTTCTTTTAGGATCTATCCAAGAGTTGTGTATTACAGCATTATTAGGCATGGGATCAGCTTCCACAATGGAAACAACTCTTTTTTTCATTTTGCTTTTCAAGACTTTTTGAAATTTTTGTCTAGTGAATGCATATAGTAGAGGATGAAATATAGTAGTTCCATAAGCCATGACTAGAAAACACAATCTTAATTTTACTAAAAGGTCACTTGGGCCTAAACATAAAATAGTGGTATTTAAAACAGAAATTGGTGTCCAACAGAGAAGAAATGTAGAAATAATCAGTAATGACATTCTGAAGACTCTTTTCTGCCTTTCTCGCCGTTCACGGTGTCGTTTCACAGCTCGCCGGAGGGCAATTATTACAGAAACTGAAGTTCTTACACCAAAGACTACATTTCTCCCACCACTGCTTTGTGACATGTCTGTAGTCTCATGTTGTGTTGTTAGAGAAATCGTCTTTTTCTTTCTTGCTTTCTTCTTCTGCCCTGTTGAAAATCTTGTGCCTATTCGAATATTAAGAGCCTGAAGTATCTTGGTGTATGTGATTAACATTACTATGACTGTGAAAAAGAATATTGGGATCTGTACTAGAAGGTGATAATACATTCCAAGTTCAGTGTAGTATTCATTTGTACTGACACACAAAAGTGTCTTGTTTTCCCATGTATTTCCACTTTGAAGACTGAAAAAATTTACTTCCATAAAGGGAATTAAGAATGAGAAAAAAGAAAAAATCCAAATGGATATCATTAACATTACAGCTCTGCCCATCGTCAGAATTCGGTTTGCAGGTTTTACAGAGATGTCATATCTGTCCAAGGTGATAGCAAAAACGTTGATTGCTGTTGAGACACTTGCAAAAGAAACACAAGCCTCATGGAAACAGCAGATGAGAGCTGTGTTACTCTCCAGTGAAAGCAGAAGGATAACTATAGTTAGAGGAATACATCCCACACAAATTATTACATCAAGTACATGAAGATTCATTGTAATAATGTTACTGACAGAGTTGATTAAGTTGGATTTCATGCAGTAAAGTACCAATACGGTAAGGTTGCTGCCAAGTCCCAGCACAATTTCTAACATAAGAAATCCTGTGAGAGACACTTGAAAGCTTAGTGGATATGATAGTGCTTGGTACATATTGGTATTGATGTCATCAATGTCATCTCGCACTGTAATGTTAGATTCAGACTGCATGTTGATTTCCAGAATGGGAGAAAAACACATTCTTTTGGAGCAGTTGGCTTTTTCCCTAGAAAGTGAAATAAAATAAACTCTTTGATATTTGGCAACTTAAATGACGTATAAAACATGTATTCTTTGTAATCAAAAAACCTTTATTGTGTATTTAGTTTAATTTTTATGTTTGTATGCTATTAATGGAAAATGTACAATTAAGAAACCATCAAGACTGCATTGCTTTGTTATAAAAGGAAATTGCATTCTCCTTTCAGAGGAATACTTTATGGGGATTGTTCCCCTATAGTGCAAAATTACTTAATGTACTAAAAGGGTTTTCCTCCTTTGGAAATAAATGAGACATTTATTCTTGAGAGAAGGCATATTTTTTGTATATTAAACTATCCAGTATGCAAAACTAAGTTTAGCCTATTTTAAAATTTCATTTTAAAATGTTTTGAGTAGATAGAAAATATATGCTATTTTAATATGCTCTAGCATGATTAGTGTTGGTGTAATTATTCCTGTGAGATTTTAAATGAACAGGGAAAGTGTTCATTTAAAAGGGCATATGGTACAGAGCACTGATTTGTTTCAAACTGTCATATCTATTGCTTTTGATAGTCAAAAGTTAACAGTGTGCTAGGGGATATTCGGAGTAATTTACCACAGAAATAGGCAAGTGGCAAGTATTTCACATATCACGGTGAATATGCTCACTGAATTTTTTCAGTATGCAAACTTAAAAAATTAGAAGACAAGGGACATTAGCCAAAGCAAAAAGCCACAAAGCTTGATAAAAGAGTACTAATCATTCCTATGAATGATTTATTTTGTGACCACACCCTCTTGTATCTTATAGAAAGAGAAAATTGAAATTTAATACATATTAAGAAATAGTCATTTTTGAAGTGGTTTAAAAGAATATATTAGTTGAGTTTATTTATTTAAACAGCTTTTAAAGTAGAAAATTAAATTCTAAGGAAAAGGAGTATGTAAAACCCATTTTTTGAGGAAGCTTTTAAAGTTGCACATTACCTCTGAAACCTTTTTTTATGTATCACCCAGTGTTTAATTTTGAAGAAAATTTTGAAAATAAACAAGTTCTTTTGCTAAAATTCATGGAGATCTATATTTTAATATATAGGGGTTTAGAGTAATTTATAAAAATAATACCTGATTTTCTAGGCTGAAATGTTTAATCAACATATTCAAATTGTTATTAAAGTTAAAATTGGATATCATAAAACCACCTATAACATTTCAGGTACATCCCTAAAATTACATTTCAAACATAAAATTATAAAAGTTATTTTCAGAATTTATATTACCCTTTTACTTGGTTTACTTTGACAAGTTTTAGAATATAATTTTATTTCTGCATGTTATTTTGGGATAATGTTCCAGAAACAAATGATAATATTAATTTCTTTTGAGTGGTATGAGTATTAATAGAAGCATATTCACGTAAATGAAGATCTTCGCTAACACTGAAATCTTATAAAAATGGAAAATTCTAAGTGTGCCAAGTTTTTTGAACTGACAGGTCTTTGTCACATGAGTTATGTTTACAATTAAATAAAACAGAAATGTTAAGTTTGATGATAATTAAGAAAAATTATCTAATTTCTTTTGTAAATGTTAACCAGTGTGGTGGGGTGCATGCATTTTCTGACCTACCTGTTTGCTGATGCCTTATGGGCCTTTTGGTTCACTATGGCAAAGTTTCATAAATTGATACATGATATCATTGACAGATTTTGACATGAATTTTTACCTGACAGCAGTGAAGTAGCTGTGTTTTATTTCATGTCTTGCAGGAATTCTTTCATTTTCTCTCCAGTACTTCAACTGCATAAATTATGAAATTTAGTTAGCTGATGGATTTCTAAAGAACAGTACATAATATTTGTGTTTGTTTTGCCTTAGAAAGTCACGACCAAGAGAAACTTCCTCAAATGATAGAAATTTTCCTTTGAGGGAATATATGATAGTGTCCCTTTATTTTCCAGAATATGTGAAAACAAAAAAGGAAATGTAAGTTTTCTAGCTTCTAAAATGTATTTAGACATCCTTTTGTTACATTTGTAAATCTTTTTGTATACCAGTCCTCATGGTTTTGAAATTACTTCTTGATCACATAATTTCTTTATATTAAAATCCAGTCCAGGTTGTTTTGATGAAAACCATGTGCTATTTAATTTGGTTTGTTTTCATTAGAAGAGGATACATAATTGGTCATAAAGCTCAGATGGAAAAATCCATTAGTCACATCAATTGATATGAATAGCTGAATAGTGTAGGAAACATAAGGTTCATTTTGCTTGTTGGTGAAATTAGTCATTCTCTTTTTTGAAACTCATATTTCATTGTTTCTTCAGGAATCCATAGCTTCCACGATTCTGGTGTGTTAAACTCCCCCTTTAAAAATGCTCACTATTTTCACCCCAGGCTTTTGTAATCATATTGTGTTTCCTTTTGTGGTTATTATTTGTAGCATCTTCTTAGTATACTGTAGATTTGTTATATTCCAGCAGTAATATAGAGCTATTCCCTGGTTTTAACTCCTTAGTTTCTTAGGAGAAATATCTTGTAGTTTGTGGTTCAGAGAGCTAGGAAGATTCTCAGTCAGTTGCAATCTTCAGATTGTTGGTTGTAAATACTGACTTAGCTGCTATGGGCCCTTGTGAAAAGGAAAACAAATGGTTAAGAAATAGGGTTCTTAACAATTTCTAATTATTTGAAAGTTACTTCAGTTTTTTTTAATTTAAAGCCATATAGTATTTGTTCTCTAAGTAAGGAAACTGTATTGCTAGAGCCATAGCTATATGCATACAATTAAGTTTCTTGAAATAAAATACTCCCTTATCCTGGCAGAAATTGTATTACTTAATAGTAGAGTTAAGCATTATAAATATAACCTGAGAGAAAGGCTGTATTTTAAAAGTATTTCTGCTCTCTTCTTAGACGTTAACCAGTATTTTCAGATTATAAACAGTTATATACTCTAAACATACTGCCATTCCCTTGTCTTTATAATAAATTTAACATATACAGCTGTAAAAAGGTAGCTTGCTTAATTATTAGCACATGGTGTGAATTATAACTCATTAAGATAGATTCTATGATAAGACACTCTAAATTTCCATTGATAAATTACTCATGTGGTTGAAATATAAAAGGCAATACCAAAATGTAATTGCAAATTAAATAATTTTCAATGTCCATGCCCAATAATAATGTTAACATAAAATTGAATAATAAATAACAACTAAATGGTAAACATGGTTTTTATAAGAAATATAAGCAGTTTTTAGACACTTAAGAAAAACTGTACTGATCACATTAAGAATATTTAGTATGTCTGAGGTGATTTAAAAGCTGATGTCTTTGTAGGTAATTAACAGACTATTCTTCAATTTAACAGTACATCCTAAAAATTGCATTTAAAATATATCATGTCTTAAATGAAATAGATCTAAAAATTACAAATATAGCATTGAGTAGAAATAAACACATAAACTTTAAATTTAGACTGAAAAATTTCAAAACAATTTTACCCCACTATGCCAATTTCAAAAGCAGCTGTATATTATAAGAAGGAACACATCTTACCTTTGCTAAGGATTTGATAAATTCTTGATGTAGTTGAAGCATTTCCAGTTTTGATTGATTCATTTTGTTCACTTGTTTGTAGAGAACTGGGGGAAGAGGGTTATAAACACCTCTTCAGAAATGACCTTAATGAAAATATGTGTCTGTACTGTGCCATTGTTTCAGCAGTACTGCTAATGTATGGAACGTGTAAGGCTGCTTAGAGGCTGCTGCAGTCTCTCACTCTTCCTACTGTGGAATCAATAAGCATCCGAAAATACATAATAAAGTCATTTAACATACTGAAGGCTTCTTGTCTCCAGAGACAACGTTTAGATTCAGTCTTTATAAAAAGGAACTGCACTGCTTTTCAGAGGAAAGCCTGTTCAAAGCAGCTTTTGCAGAATGACAGCCTACCTTGTCGCTTCTCTTCACTGCAGAGAGATGCAGTGCATTCACTAATTTTGATTGGTCAGTTGTATCGAGCTTAAACTGTGCTTCATATGTATAGCCGGGATTCCCCCCCCCCACTGTTTTATGTAAGGATGTTTTTTAAAAAGACTGAATTTATAAGTGATTGCATGTTGTTCTTAAATAGAACATGAGTAAATTAGTCTTTTAAAATCTGTATTCTATTCTGGTTTGTTGGTCACTTATGCCAAGCATTAGAAAATGCAGGGAGGCGTGGGTGGGTGGGTAGAGGGGAGATTTACATAGTAAAAAATATTGTATTCTTTTTAAAGCCTTGATAATTGTACTTGTGAATATTTTAGTAGTTATATATGTTTTTGGTTGAGGTTCTTTGTTCTACAAATAGAAACCAACTGCATTTCGACACTGAACCACATTGAATTTCAACTAGTTTGTATTTAAGTCGTCTCTGTATATTCCAAATTGTTGTGAACATCTCAAGGTGTTAAATGTTGTCACAATTTCAGTATTCATTCAGCTATTTCTTCATTTCATTCATTCAAAATATTAATTGGGTTGATCTAGGGTGATTTTCCCCTAAGATTTTTTTTAAACATTCCATTGCTAATAGCACAGTTTTAGTGGTTAAAACTTGAGTCATTTACTTTCACCTTTCATAACTCTTTTACTTAGTAGATATATACTGATCATTTGTTATTAATATTTTATTTCAGTTGGCTAGTTTTTATTTTTTGATGGGGGTATATTTATTAGTGGATTGCAGTTTTGTAAATATTTTATGTAGCTATATGTTAATGTTGGTACATATATGGGCAAAGGAAGGAGGAAGCTACATGTCCTCATAAATTATAAAACTAAATTATTTTTAGATATGCTTTCAAAATAATAAAACAGTGGTATGAGTATTGAACCAAAATACTAAAATTAAATTTGTATTAATTTTAGAATACATTTCTATTCTCAGTCATGTGGAGGATAAGTATTCTTTTAGACTTGAGTTTATATAGAAGCTGGATTCTATATTGACAAAATTGAAGGCATTGCCAATGGTTGAGTTATTGGAATATTAATTATTACCTATTTCCTTTATTTTAAGAATATTAGTGATCTTTACCTTTCAATATATTTTATCCTAAGTTTTTAATTTGTCATTAGAATTATGCTCTTACAGTTTTGAAAAGCAATGTGCATTTTTATAATTGTTCAGACTGTGTTTTTTAAAGGGGAATAGCTGATGAGCACATGAATTTTACATTGCATTTCTACAGAAATTGAGAATAATATGAAAAATTTTGTTGTGAGTTTCTAAAATTTTCCCCACCCAAAGCTTTGGGTGACAAGGCTTTGGTAATAATAAAAATGAAAATGTTGTATTACTGTTTATGCATTTTGAAAGTTGGGGGAAAGGATCTTTCTACAATGCGAACCACATTAAAAGATAGCTGATAATCACAAAATATTATTTTAAGCTTAAAACTAAAATCATAGAAAGCATGGTAGTATAAGGTGAAATTTGTATAGGGAACAAAGAAATTTATTAGTATAATGAAAATATAGATATTTTTCTGCCAGAGTTAAATATTTGGTTAGGTTTATTGTCAGAATATCCCCATGAAATAGAAGAAAATAAGGTACAGAGAAATTTGTTGATTTGAAAAAGTCTAGATAAGTTAACTATTAGAGTCAGTGTTAGAACTCTGCAAACCCCACCCTACTAGGTAGCTAGCTCTCTCTTTGGAAAATTATGAAAGTATTGGACTTAAAATTGGATAATCAAGGTTCAGTCACTGATTATTGGTTATATAACATTTGGTGAATCAAGCTTTCTTTGGATCATAAAGTAGCTTTGATTCTTTTTGTTGTAAACGTATTTCTTTGCTTATCTCTTTGTGAGACAGTATTTCCACATTATATTCAAATTATTTCTAAGAAACAAAATCTGAGGTTTCTGTAAGCAGTAATGGTAGCAAAAATGCTAAGGCCCGGATATTGCTGTTTATCTTGTGTATAGGTGACTGTGGCTAAAGATGCATAAGATTCACAAACAATTTTAAAAAATGAATTCAGTGCTTAGTCTTATTTTATTTCTTTTCAAAAATCAGAAATTTATTTGGTGCTTACAAGTTACTCATATGTTCACAGAATATTCCTAACATTCCCTGTTTTTAACAAATATGCTATTAGACTGAGAATCAGATTATGTTACTTTCATGAAGAAATTATTCAAATTACATATCAGAATTTATAGATTCTTGTTTCCATAGTAACACATTTTCCAAACTTGTGCATTTAGTATGTTTTATATTCATATAGGTAACTGATTTTGAAGAATTCTACAATTGCTTATTTGAATCAAATCTTATATTATAAATAATTTTGTAGATTAATTTTTTACTTAATAAGCTGGGAAAGCACTTTGGCTTTCCCAGTGATAATTAAAAAAACAAAAAACAAATGTGTATCTAATCTCAAAACATAGCTCACTTAAATCCTTTTTCAAAAGTTATGCTTTTAGTTTTAAATATTTTGATTGCTTATCTTTTTTAATTCTAAAAAATCCTGATATAGGGTCTTTGACTTTTAATTTTATACATTTGTCTTCTTAAATTTGGACAACTGCCACTGTTTACATTGCATTATTCATATCAAAACATTCTTGTCCAGCTTGTGGGTCATTCTGATTCTCTTGTGTCTAAGTAAAAAACTCAACTTGATGATATATTGGAATTAACTAAAAGTGCTTTCAAACCGTTTACAAAGTATATAAACAAAAGTAGGGTTTAATTGTAGAAAATCAGTTTTTAACTGTATTGTTTTAGAAAGGGTGCTTTTTCAATGAATACTTAATGTAGTTAACTCTGAACTCTCTGATACTGGAACCTAGGGAAAATCAATTTAAAAATTTCATTTGGCCTCTCAACTTTAAATTTCTTTCACAATACATGTTTTATCAGAAAGATAGAAATGGACCATCTGCTGAAACCTTCTTCAAGTGGGGCAAAGCCAAGGTAGTAGAGAGTAAATAACGGTGATAATTCATTATCTATAAGAGAATAATTGAAAACTAATCAAATTGGATAAAGTGCATGCATCAGAATTGAATATTTTTAGGAGATAGAAAATGCCACAGCTTTTCTTTCCTCTTCTTCCTTACCCCAACTAAGTGGAACAATTAAAATTTTTAATTTTTATTTTTTGCAATATTTATTTGTAGTTGTGTCTTTTGCTAGCATGGCATACATTACAAAAATAAATATCTGGCATTTCTTTCTGTTTTTTCATTTGAACCTAGATTTTAGATACTGTGACTATTACTATAGTCTATCCTCCCTCTGTTATATTACTGTTGGCATGTCTGGGGCTTTGTCCAATTATTACTTCACCCCCAATTTTATGGATTACTGTTTTGACTGCTTTTTATCTGTCTTTGCATCCTCTAAATATTAAGCATTTTGCTGAAGTTTCTCCTCTTTTATTTTAATCAAAGAATTATACAAACAGCCATGTTTGTGCTCCTGCTCCCACTGTTTTTTTTCCTGTTGTTTCCTTTTCTTTGCATAATTCTTCTCTTAATTTCTTTGTTTTGAGGCCAAATCATTTATGAGCTGGATTATATATTTAACAAAGCTATGTCAATTCCCCTCTTCTGGGCTGAGTCTTATGCTTGATGAGAGACACAATTGAATGGCTGACTGTAATCTTGTGGATTCAGTAACATCCGTTGTACAACTTGGTTATTCATTTGGGAGAATGAATGTATTTTAAGAGTTTACTATTAACCTCTAATGAATGTCATCCCAGGTGACTTTCTGCTAGTTATATTCAGCAATATATCTTCAGTTACTACTACCTTCTAGTTTCCATTTTAGGGCCATGATACCTACAAAAAATCATGTTATTTTGATTTTACAGAATTTAGCTACAGATGGATTTTGGGAAAACTGTCAACATTATTGAGTCTTTCAACTTATGGACACAATCTCTTTTTTTTTTAATGTTATATATTTGATTTCTTTTATCCATGTTATTTAGGTCTTTTGCTATACATCTTGCATATATTTTGTTAGATTTGTTTCTACTTAATTTCTTTATTGAAAATAACACCTAACTTTAAAAATCCAATTGTTTGTTGTTAGTAAATATAATTTGAATTGGTTTTTGTATGTTGACCTTGTAGCCTGCAACTTTGCTAAATTTTTTTTATTAATCTAAAAACTTTTAATAATGAATTCCAGAGGGTGCGATTGGTGTACACCTGTAATCCCAATGGCTTAGGAGGTTGAGATAGGAGGATTGAGAGTTCAAAGCCAGCCTCAGCAAAAGTGAGGCACTAAGCAACTCAGTGAGCCCACCCATCTCTATAAAATATAAAATAGGGGTAGGGATGTGGCTCAGTGGTCATATGAACTCTGAGTTCAATCAAAAAAAAAAAAGAATTCTACGATCTTTTTGATGTAAATAATTAATGTTGTGTGTAAATAAAGGTAGTTTGCTTCTTGAAATGTAACACATTATATTTTTGCTCTGGAGTTAGATTGAATAGGATTGTGTTGGGTGATTTAGTCTTCCATGAGCCCTAAGCATCCCTGAAAAAGTTTGTACTGGGTATGCCAGGAATGCAGACCTGGCTACTATGTTTGTTGTTAGCACCTTTGAGAGATGATGTAATAACTCCTAAGAAAAAAGAGCAGATAAAAAACCTTCTTCTGTTTATTATAAAAAATGATAATTTCCTCAAGCTCATTGTTCTTCAGCTGTGATGGAAACCCACCTAGTAATAGAGTGTCCACTAATGCATGCATCTCTGTCAGGAGAACTTAAAGAGGAAGGTGAACTGTCACTGACATGATGCTCATAACTGTTTGCTATATTATGGATAATAAAGTCTTTTGACCCAGCATCTTATATCTTCTATTTTTGCCCATGAAACAGTAACAGGCTAACTAGCTTCATAGCTTGTAAGTAGGGTAAAATCCCAGACCCTTAGAAATTTTTGATATTTTTGGTGACAAGGATGTGATGTTGAAGACA